GGAATTGCATTTCTGCCGCTAAAGCGTTCGCGGAGACTTCAAGGTATAATCTATCCCAGATCCTTTCCCAGAGAGAAACTTGGCGATCACGTTTCCACATGATGCTCACGTTTGGTGCTCTCCAATTATCCCTCCCCACAAAGATAGGTGGCGTGTGTTGCAGGGTCTCTCCTCTCGCTCGTACAGAAAAGAAAAAGAAAAAAATGTCATTAGAAGAGGCGTAACACGTCAGTCCGTCCCCAGGTTTGTGTTTCCTGGAGTGGCAGAAAGAGATCAGTCCTAACCTGCCCAGCAGGAATAACGGTCCTTCCGACAACTCTTTGCAAGGCTTTTTACAATTTCTCCAGGAGCTGCATCTCCCTTCACCTTTTCTCCTCCACTTCGCGGCTTCTTCATGCTTTTTCTTCTCACCATTTCTGGCCAAAACTACAAACAAGACTTCGCAGGTAGGTTTGGAATTTAATTCCATTTTCTCTCCTTTTTTATTTTTTTCTCCTCTTCTCTTTTTCTTTCTCACACCACCTCACGCATCAGCGGGTCTATTCCATTTCGAGAGTATTTTAATTTTTCTGGATTGTTTATACTTGGGGCGAATTTTTTTTTTTTTTTATTTTTTTCAATCTTTTTAACCGAAACCTGAAGTCACTCCAGCACCGCTCCAGGAAGGGGTGAGCAGTTTCGGGGTGCTCGGGGCTCTGCCACCACCACCCCTGCTCCCCATACCTGTCAGCCAGGTACGGGAGGTGCCTTTTAAAACGCAGCAGCAAAAGTTTTAGTGTTAGGAAAGGACTTCGTCCTCCTGCAAAAAAAAATCCCTGAAACATCCCCCCACCCACCTCCTGCTCTTTTTATTTCAGGTTTTACATCTGAGCTCTGAAAGTTTGCAGGTACCTGTTAATGCTTTGCATGCCCTGAGCATGCAGAGCCAGCCCGGCCGGGCACCGCTGGAGCCCCAGCCCCGGGCAGGGCTCCCCGGCAAAGGATGTGTTTCCCCAAACAGAAAGTTTTGCTGTTTTGTCTGCTTAGTTGGTTTCATTTCTATATTTTATTTTGTGAAGCTGGGTGAAGTAACACCTTAGCTTCTGGGAGCCTAAAGCAAGAAGTGAAAGTACAGACTGGAACTTAAAAGTCGTTTACCAAAAGGAAAAAAAAAAATTAAAATTAATACATATTTTTAAAAGCTTGCCGGTCCTCTGGGAAGAAAAGCGTTCTCGAAATTTGCAGGTTTAAAATTATTGACAACTTTTTACGGGAGGCTGGAGAGTGGGAAAGGGAGTGAAATGCATTTAAAACAATTCACCATTGGTCGTTTTGCATTAAAACGCCAATTGCCGAGGCAGGCTGAGGGTCCGGGCTCGCCTCGGTGCCTGTCCTCCCTCCCCGCTGTATCTCCTCTCCTGGCAGATCTGCCGCGGTGATGCCACCATTGCCCACCCCAGCCTCGCCAATAACTGGCAAATACTAAAGTTTCTAACACATTTCTCAGCCTCTTCCTTGCTCAGCCACATTCATCCACATCCACAGAGCCACCCATTCCCTCTGTCCAGGCGGAATCCCAGGCAGGAGAGTGTGAGTAAACACACTCTCTCAATCTTCCCATCCTCTTACCTGCTTGGAGATGTATTATTTTTTATTTATAGCCAAGCAGGTTTTATAACAGTAAACGCCTGAGGAGAGAGTTCAGGCAGAATAAAAAGACCCAACAGCAGCACACTTCACTGCTCAGCCCTGGTGTGAAGCTCCAGCAAAGTAAAAAGACACAAGGAAGGGAAAAGAGGAAAAGGGGGAGAAATCTCACTCTGTTTAAAATATATATATATATATATATATATTGAAATTGTTGAGTCAGGTAATAATTTTTTAGGTTTTATGTAAAACTCCCAGTGCAGGAGAAGACAATAGATGCGAAGGCGAGGGAGCATCCTGCTCAGGAGAGCAAGGGTTAATTGCCCTTGTTTTACAGTTTGCATCTGTTACATCTTTTATAGCCCCCTGTTTAAACTAATCCTCAAGTCAAAGCATCTTTAAAGCTACAGCATCTTCTTCGAGATGGACTGAGTTTCAGGAGCGTTCTTGCAGCAAACCAAACGCTCCTGCCCCTCTCTCCCTTTGACAGATAGAGCCTCCTGCCCAGCCCGGGCACACAGGCACACACAGTAGGTCTAGAAGTTTACAAGTTGCTTTTATTTATGGGGTTTTTTTGTTATTTTTGGTTTTTGGGTTTTTGTTGGTTTTTTTTTTTTTTTTCCTTAAAAACAAAAACCCAAAAGCCAACTGAAAGGCTGAAAACTCTGACAGCGGTAGTTTTGATTTCTGTTTCTTTTCTGGGAAGGAAAAAAAAATGACACTCTGAAGCTTTGTTTAACTAAGGGGCAGGGGAAACCCTGAATATTGTCAAACTGACTAAAAAGGTGACAGAGGTTTATAATTACACTCCTCGTTGTTAGGGGGAGGGGGAGGTATCCGTGGTGAGTTTACCCCAAAAGGACAGGGGAGAGCCATGTTTCCCTCTTCTCTTATCACTTTGCTGGACTGCACTTTGGGGGAAAAAAAAATGAAGGCAGGAGAAGGGTAGGATTTCGCGTGAAAAGAAGTTCTAGTGTCAAATTAAAGTACTTTTAGGAGGAAATGGTCCGCCTAGCATTGAGTCAAACAGCCTACTGTAAAAGCTGTGCATTCCCTCATACGGTCATGAGTTATGACTCATTTGAGATGTAATTCTTGTCTCTCTCTCTCTCTCTCTGATCTGCTTTGCTGGTGCAACACACACACACACGCAGGGAGGGAGACACACGCGCTCGCACACACACATACACGCAGAGACACACACAGAGCGAGAGAGAGAGAGAGAGAGAGAGAGAGAGAGAGAGGGATCAGAAAATAAATAAATAAATATATAAATAAATAAATAAAGAAGAAATCTGCCCGGCTGGGGAGAGAGGGGGAGCCCGCTCCGACCGCGTCCCACCTCCCCCGGCACGGCCAGCCTCGCCGTGTGCGTGGATGGGTTCTTTTTCGGGTGCAAACTGGGGTCCCCGTTGGCGCCCTGCGTTTAAATGGGACATCCCGATGCCCACATTGTCGCTGTGTTTGGTCGTTACATAGAGCCTGCGTGCTGCTGCTGCTGCTGCTGCCGCTGCCGCTGCTGCTGCTGAATCAGGGAGTCGAGCCCATGCGAACTGCCATCTGATCCACTCTTATCAATGAAGCAGCAGATCATGGCGGATGGCCCCAGGTGTAAGAGGCGAAAACAAGCCAACCCCCGGAGGAAAAACGGTAAGACGGCCCCCCGGGAAAACTTTTCCGGCCGGCTCCGCCGCGGCCGTGGCGGTGGTGGGGGGGGAAAAGGCGGCGGCAGGACGGGGAGCGGGACGGGGAGGGGGGCACGGCTCCCGGCAGCCCGGGGCTGGCCGCCCCCCGGCTCCCTGCGCGGCGTCCCGCGGCTGCGGAGCGCCGGAGGGAGCGGAGGGAGCGCAGGGAGCGGGGGGAGCCGCGCTGCCGCCCGCCCGCCGCCGCCGCGCCCCAAAGTTTGTTGCGCGGGCGCGGAGCGGAGCGGGCGCTGCCCCCGTGGCCCGGAGCGCCGGGGCCGCTGCCCCGAGAGCGGCGGAGGAGCGGCGGGGCCGGCCCGGCTCGCCCGGCGCTGCTTGCCCGGGTCGCTCCGGCGCTGTCAGTGCGGGCCGGGCCGGGCCGGGGCGCGGAGCGGAGCGGAGCGGGGCGGTGGGAGGCGCGGAGCGGCGCGGAGCGAGCGGGGCGGGCGGCCCTGGGAAAAAAACCCGGCAGCGTGAGAACCCCGAGGCGGGCTGGCACCGAGTTAGCGACTCTCTCTCTCTCCCTTCTATTTTTTTTTTTTTTTTTTTTTTATTGTTAGGGACTCGAAAATGAAACTTCCTCCTCCCTGATAATTAATAATACTAATGAGCTCGGTGCCCGATTGTCCGTCGCTGCCCTCTCCCCCGGTCCCCGGCGGCCGCGCAGGGCCGGGGCGCAGTGGGACGCGGTGTTCTGGGCTGATTTCACATTTGGCAGCTTTCACTGGTGTGGTGGGTCTCTCTTTCTCCGTCTCTCCCCGTCCCTCCCTTAGTTTCTTCCTTTCTCTCCCGGCTGATAGCCGCTTCCCCGCCGCCAGCCTCCCCCTCCCCGCCCGCAGCCCCTCCATGGCCATCCCGGCCCCACTTCCAACAACTTTCCTCTCTAGGAGCTGGAGGAAGGAAGATATTTGTGTGAACCTGAACCCATGCGCTTATAGCTCAGCTACTTCATTTAAGTGGAGAGGTGGAGGTGGAGGGGGGCTGGAGGAGGACGGGGACACACAATAACAACAACAACAACAAAAAACACAAAGACAAGAGAATGTTGATTAGAAAGAAATGATCCTGGCCCCCCCCCCTTCCCTCTCTCTAGGTTGTGAGTGTGAGTGTGTGTGTGCGTGTGTGTGTGTCTTTTTCTTGTTGTGGTGGAGGCGTCGAGCCATATGGGGGAGTGATAGAGGAATTTTAGTCAGAAACTGTTCGTTATGTTACACTGGCTTTTCCCTTTGTGTTGTCTTTGATCTATTTGCTTGGCTTAGTATTACAAAAAAAAAAAAAAACCACCAAAAAAAAAACCCCAACTAAAATAATATATTCCGAGCAGCTTCCCAAGGATCCGTTCCTTGTTATCTTTTTTTAAAGTCTCTCCCCCTCCACCACCACCCTTTACTCTTGTGTCTGTCATTATTTAAGGTGGTCCTCACAGAGGAGACCTCCCCTTCCCCTCATCTCTGGGTAATTTAGTAGACATTAAAATTACACGTAATGTTTCCCTCTCCTCTCTTGTGTTTCCTCTGTTCTTTTTATTAAATGTTGGTTATTGATTTTCTAAAATCAATGTCTGTTGTGGGGCTTTTTTCCCCTTACAAGTATCTAAAGCACGTTGCTGATCAACTGGATAACAAAAGCTTTGTGTCAAGTAGCCTTTTTTCTTATGTTAAACAGTCATTTTTGAGAGAAAAAGAGAATGAGATTTAAAGCAACGCATCCAGAAGTGCTCTTTTGCAGTAAAGAATATTCTGAGTGTTTGAGGGGGTTTTATTCTTCTTCCTCAGCCTCCTTGCTTTTCCAGGCAAGACTATTAGTTTAGCGTGTTAAACCCATCACATGCTCTCTGATGAGGGATGCATCTACGTGTTTAATATTTTCTCAACATGATTTGAGTCCTAAAAAAAAACCCCACCACCCTTACCCCCCCCCCCCCAAAAAAAAAAAAAAAAAAAAAAATACTGGATGCCTCTGTTTGCCCAGGACACCAGGACCGTATCCTGATAGTGCAGCCAAGTCTTTGGGAGCACGTATGGAGCGGGGTGGCAGATTCTGGTTGTTCCCATGCAAAAAGGTGTTTTCAGGGAGCTGCACTAACTTGGAAAAGCCACCACACTTGGGAGACGAAAGTTTAATTGCGATTTTTAAGGTAACCACTTAAAGATCCTGCAAACTTCAAGTGTGTGTGCGCTGCTTATGCGAAAGGCTGAGTTCTCCCTTCAGTGTCTTGTTCTGGCCAAGACACGGGGTGTGTGGGGGGGGAAGGAAATAATTCTCTACTTTCTGTCTGTCCCCTCTTCCCTCTTTGTGCTCCCTAATTTGTTTCTTTCATTCATTTCTGAGTGAGAAATGCCCTGGTTCTGAGGAGCAGGTAGAGCGAGGGTGGGTTTGGTTAGAGCTTTTCTTTTTTTTTTTTTTTTCATTTTCTCTTTCTCGACAAGCACGTATCCAATGCCTTTCCCGTTGGGAATTGCCTAGGATTTATCTGGACTGAGTGGATTTTTCTTCTTTCCTGGAATCGTGGAAAAGATGTTACTTCTGAGCTTGTGTCTTTGCTGATAACACCAGAAACGGTGATGCTTATCGAACTCGGACAGAAATTCCTTAGAAACGCAGTAGAATCAAAATAAAATTTAAAAGCCACGGGAAAAAAAAATAGATGGTCATGAAGGAAGCGAGAGGAGCGTTAGTGAATCCCAGACACATTACAGACGGGGACAAAACAGAATAATCCAACTAATGCCTCAGTGGGCTCCACGCCTGTGTGCGTGTATCTGCGTGTGTGCGGGGATGGGCAAGGCTCGGGATGAGATACCGGGGCTGGATAAAATTACAGCGGAGCTAAATAGGGTAGAAAGGAAGCAGGCTCGGGATTTTCCAAGATAACGGGGTTGATGAGAGCTGCTGGAGTGGAGGAGAGGTGTGCGGAGCGGGGGGGTGGGTTGAGAGAGGCGATGTGGAAATCAATGAGGGGTGAGCCCCCCGGGGAGGGGGGAGCAGCGGGGAGGATGAGAAGGAGAGGACCCCAAAAGCGAGGCCTGGGGGGGGGAGCCGGGGGGCGGGAGGTGCGGGAGCGGCAGCCCAGGAATGCGGCGGAGCTCCGGGAAGTTCAGTCAGATGATTCCCAGCGCCTGACTCACTTCGCGGCACTTTCACTCGGGAGAGAAGTGGCGGCAGAAGAGGAGGAGGAGGAAGAGGAGGAGGAGGAGAGGGCAGTGAGCCCCCTTTTCCGCACGGGCGCCCCGCGGAGGCGGGGGCTGCGCCGGCAGCGCCGGTGCGGAGCGGAGCGGAGCGGAGCGGGGCCCGGAGCAGCGCTGTCCGGCCGGCAGCCCTGCCCTGCCATGCCTGATGAGAGAGCTGCCTCTCTCCGGGTTGTTGTGGTTTGGCGTTTGTTGGCTGAGGGGTTTTCCCCCCCCCTTCCCACCCCCGCCCTTCTCCTTTCCGCTCCCCTCCTCGAAAATCCAAAGTGAAATTAAAATCCCCGCGAAGAGGGGGAGGGGGGGAAAGTTGTATCTAATTTACCCCAAAGTTTCAGTAAACAGCTCTCTTTGATTCCTTTGCCACCTCGCTTCCAGTTGTAAAGAAAAGGGAGAAAGTTCAATGCTTTCAGGGCGTCTGATCCAAGACCACAGACCAAACAAGCAGAGACGATTAGACTTGCTCAGAGCCTTTCCCAAAAAGATACCCACCCACCCTCCTTCCAGGGATGCTGGGGAAGGGGGAAAAACCTCCTTCACTTCTCACTTGAAAAAGAGGAAGAAAAAAAATAAAGGGGGGAAAAAAAAAAAGGAAAAAAAAATAGTCAAGCCTGCCTGCTGCCTTTAGTGAGTGGGAAGTGAGTCTTGTCTTCCCTGCCTGGAGAAGTTTGGAGGCAGCTAGACTGAGGCTGGGGTGTGAGGAGGCAGCTGTTCCCTGTGCAGCCCAGGTGGCAGCGGGCAGAGCGGGCACCCGGAGCGCTCCTGTGGCCGGGCAGCTCCCCAGGGCCGGGAATCCGTTGCGAGGAGATTACTCCGGGAGTTGGCTCACTGGGTAGCCAGACAAATGTACTGCTACCACCTCCAGAAAAGCACCTGGAGATAGGTATTAAAAATTAATGCCATAAATGCGAGTGGCCAGGGCGTAATGATTATCCAACCACATTTTCTCGGTGCAGATTCATGTCCAGGCTGAGCTGTGACATGGAGCAGGGGAGGTTGTTTTCTGTGTCAAGTCGGATCTATTTATTTTCCTTTGAGTTTCGAGAAACCCAGCGAATTTGGAGATTAGTGCCTGATTTACTGTTCGCCATTTGTGACCATGCGGTACTTACTGGTTTTGCTTATTGCACATGCTTCGCAAGGAAAGTTTTGGGGGAATTTCTAATTGCTGCAAGAAAATGCACTTGATGGCTTGGAAAAGGCATATTTGAAAAGGAAAAAAATTATAAGGAAACCATTACAAGTTAATTATCGATAATTATACATAGCAAACTGCCCAAGGTAGGGGAAATATGTGGGAGACCGAGATGCAGGCTCTCAGGACAGGCTGGTAATATCCCACAAGAAAAATGTGTGTCTCCCTTTAGAGTGGAAAGAAGGGTGTTGATTCTTTTACAGCAGCCCCACATTCATTCCAAGAAATAGGAAATTCTTCGCCTCACAACAGTTTTTGGCATCTGCATTATCCCAGTGCTTTTAAGGTGCATTTTCTCCTCTGTGAAAGAGAACTCTTTGTCCTTTTTTTCTCCAAGACCATGGCTTCCCAAGGTAGACACTATTTTGTGCCTGTCACATAGAAAGGGAGTGCAGGTTTGCAGTGCTCACAGACAATTGATTGTCTGCCCTAATGTGTTTCATTTACATGTTTATAACGTCAATAGTGCTGGGGTGTCCACTGTACCATTCATTCCAGCATTCCCACAAGGGTGCAATTGTCTGAATGGCCAAGTCAGACACCTTTTTGATTGCTCTTTAGTTGTCTTTTTAGAGTATAGAGAAAAAG